AGAGCCGTGTTCACGTGCCGTTTCCCGCGCTGGCTACGAGAGGGGGCGGCGGCCAAAGTCGGCCCAGGCGGAGCGGCAGTACCGAACTCACCCACGCGCACGCTTTGGTCCAGCCTGGCCCGCGGATAAGGGTCAAGAGGACCGGGATGCCCGAGACCGCGTGCCACCGGGCCACCGCGGGCACCGCACGACGCCCGCGGGGCCAGGCGTGCCTCACGTGAGGCGCGGGGCGGGGCAATCCGTCTCTCGTCTCAGGTCGCAACGCTCACCCGACGGCACGTAGTCCTCGTCCTCCTCCGAAGTGGAGAAGTCTTCGGAGTCAAATTCCTCCATGTCGCTGCCGCTTGGGGCCAGGCAACCCAGAGGACTGCAGCAGCAGCCTCCACCGGAAAAGCTCTAGGGAGTGATCATAGAGCTGCTGCTATTGCTGCTACGGCGGCGACGGCGGCAGCAGCACCTTGGGCGGCCCCAGCAGCGTCTGCACATGCGCAGACAGTGCCACGTGGTCGAAACACGACACTTCCGGTCGATGCCTCTGGGCGGGCACGCCGGACTTTGCGGAGCTACGGGCCCGCCCGGACGTGGTGTATGCTGGAACTTGTAGTCTTTGGTGCTGCCTCACCTCCTAGATGTAATAAATGTGCTTAAAGAAAATTGCATATCTACAGAAAGTACAGTTGACGCTCATTATCTGGGATTTGTATTTTCAAATTCACTTAACTCGGTAAGATGTTTTTCTCGTAAGCCCCAAATCAATAATGCGCGCTTTCTGGGGTTACTCCCGGGCATGCGCAGGGGGAACTTTTGGAGTCTGCAGGGATTTAAGTTTCCAGCTGTGATTGAACCAGGCGGAGGCTCCAACTTCTTGGTTCAGCTCTCCCTGCTGTAAACAAGAGTCGTTTTCGCAGATCTATCCAGTGCCACTTTTTACTGCATTTTTGTGCTTTTATTGGTCTTTGCGGTTTAAAATGGCCCCAAAAGGTAGTGCCGAAGTGCTGTAGGGTGTTCCCAAGCGCAAGAAGGCTGTGATGTGCCTTGTGGAGAAAATACGGGTGTTAGACAAGCTCCGATCGGGCATGAGTTACAGTGCCGTTGGCCGTGAGTTCAAGGTTAATGAATCAACCATCCGGTATATCAAGAAAAAGGAGAAGGAAATTCGCTGGTCTGTACGTGAGGCCGCTCCAGAAAGCGCTAGATTGACCTCTATAGTGCGTGATGAAGCCATGGAAAAGATGGAAAAGCGGCTTAATTTGTGGATTCATGAGATGACTACCGACAAAAAAAGCATAATGGCAGCATTGTTGTGAGACTGAAAGCCAAAGAAATCTACTGTCACGTTACCCAGGGTCAGAAATGTGAAGCCCTTCTCGGCCAGCGCCTGCTGGCTCGCCCGGTTCAAACGGCGCTACGGGGTGAAAAATGTTACCCTGGCAGGAGAAGCAGACCTGAAAGCTGCGGAAGAATTTAAGAAATACTTGCTAAGTGTTATACAGGAGAAGGGTTATGTGGAAGAGCAGGTTTTCAATGCCAGTGAGACCGGCTTGTTTTACAAGGATGTTGGAAAAGGAACCTATGTAACGCAAATGGCCTCTAGAGCCTCTGGCTTTAAGTCATTCCAAGACCATGCAACCTTGCTATTGTGCACCAATGCCAAGGGTGACTTTAAGTGCAAACCCTTAATGGTGTACAGAGCCCAAAATCCACAAGCACTTAAAGGGGAAAACGTGAACCCTATGCCAGAACATTGGAGGTGGAACAAAAAAGCGTGGATGATGTCTGATTGGTTCCATAATTACTTCATTCCAGAAGTTGAACACTATCTCCAGGGCAGAAACCTTGCTTTCAAGATTTTATTAATTTTGGATAATGCTCCAGTCCACTGCCATGAAGAAGTTGAAAACGCACACCCCAAAGTAGAAGTTCTTTTTATGCCTCCAAACACTACATCTTTCATCCAACCCCTTAATCAGGGTATAATAAAAGCTTTCAAAGCACATTATACTAGAGAGTTTTACACAAAGGCTTGGGAGACTCTCAAGGCCAATAAGGAAACCACCATGATGGACTATTGGAAGTCAGTCACTATACGCAACGTATTGATTATGTTGGCACAGCCTGGGACAGCATCAAGCCAGCTTCTATCAATAACTGTTGGAAAAATGTTTGGCCTGACTGTGTGGAAAATTTCGAAGGCTTTGAAGGTATTACAGAAAATATAATGAACAGTGTCCTAAACATAATGCACATTGCACAGCAGATAAGCGGAGAAGGCTTTGAGGACATGAAGGAAGAAGATGTGGAGGAACTTTTTGCAGAGAAGACAGTAGAATCCACCAATGAAGACCTGGATGAGATGGCTAAACAAGGCACCAGAGTCAGTGAGGATGAGGATGGCAACAGCAGTCAGCCCAAGACTCCAAGAATTCTCCCTCTCACAGCAGCCAAAATAACAGAATGGAATTCTGCCTTGGAAAAAAAATTTTAATGACATGGAGGAGTGTGACCCTCTGCTTGATCGCAGCCTCAAATTCAAGCACCTTGCCTCCACTGCATTTGCCCCATATACTGAGATACTTAAAGAAATGAGGCAGAGAGCCAATCAGACAAAGCTGATGCAATTGTTCAAGCCCAATGGGGAGGGACACCTGCCCACCCCGTCGACAAGTGGCGATAGCCCAACTCCTAAGGTAGAACTGCCAGATGTCAAAATGCCACTCTCTTCCTCTTCTGCAGAATAATTCCACCCAACTCTCCCTTGGTTTTCATGGATCAAGCCAAGGTTGAGGTTTACACACCATCCACTGCCCCTCCACATCCTGCAGTCCATTAACAGTAAGCTTTTAATGTTTTTTAAAACTTTAAATGTTTAATCTTTTAATTTTTTCAGGACGTTATTGTATTACTGTACTGTACAGTATGTGTTCACAGTGTACAGTGTGTCAGACTGTTTTCTGTACTATATGTACTATATGTACTGTATGTGTATGACTATAAAAAAGTAGTACAATTTCAGTACAGAAAAGTACATTGTACCAAAATGCTGTAATTGAGATGTTGTAAAGAAATACTGTGTATAATTATGTGCAAAAGTATATGTATTAAATAAGGTGTCTTTGGATAGAAACACACATAAAACAAGGTTACATGATGGTCATTTGACAAAGGTGTTGTGACCAGCAGCTCATAGGAGTCTAAAACCCTGGAGGAGAGGTTATTAGAGACAACAGTATAAATGTAACTACTGTCAATAACTAGAATCCACTATATTCTAGAATGCAGACATCCACATGGATCTTTCTTTCAAGTTGATCCATATTATAATACAAACATATAATCTTTATTTTTTTCAGATGAAACATTTTAATTATAATCTAATTTGGGGACAAAGTAATCAGAATCAAATGCAGGTGAGACATTGATGACTGCCATGCTGTTTGTTCCATACTTTCTAAAAATTGAGGGTTTTTTTCCAACTGAAAGTTGCTTCTCACTGATACTCTGGACTGGACTGGATCTATGTCATCCAGTCCTTGAGTTATCTAAATCAGGGAATAGATTAGACATGTGAGTAGAGACATTACAGAAGGCTCTATACTAGCAAACTTATGTATCAAAAAACACTATCTCCTTTAAGTGTACAACTATTTTCATATATATTCAAAGACATGAGCAATCACCATCAAATCAATTTTAGAATAATTTTATCACCCCAAAAAGAAACCCGGCACTCATTAATCATTCCCGTTTTACCTGATCATCACATCTGAACATTCCCTGTAAACAGACTCATATAATGTGTGACTGGTTTCTTTCACTTTGAGCCACATCCCTAGCCCTTTTTTTTGAGATACGGTCTCTCACCAGGTTGCTTACAGCCTCGCTAAATTGCTGAGGATGGCATTGAACCTGCAATCCTGCCTCAGCCTCCCTAGCTGCTGGGATTATAGGCAGGTGCCACTACACCTGGCTCTTAGAACCTGACATTTTCAAAGCTCACCTAGAAGTGTCAGTCATGAAGCTTTACCTTTTGAGGAATTGCCAAACTGTTTTCCAAAACAGTTGCACCACTTGATATTCATGAGATCCCAGTTTCTCCACACCCTTACCAACACCTTGTGTTTTTGACTGCAGGGTATGCAGTGGCAACTGAGTTTTGTTTTTGGCTTGGATCTCACTAACTGTAACTCAAAACCCTTTTTCCAGTTGCCAGATCACTGGGATTACAGGCACCTACCAAAGCCCTGGTTTCTCAATGTAGTTCTTTTTGGAAACTGAAAATTCCTCCCCTGCTGTGTCCTGAATACCCATAATTTCAGGGGCTTCTGGTCGAACTATGTGCATATCCTCTGCTCTGCACTCTAGCTGGCTACTAGAATCATCCTGTTTCTTGAACTGAGTGGCAGTCACATAACTTTTATATATATATAAAATATCAGGTTATACATTTAAGGTTTTTGTACTCTATTGCCTGTTAAACCTCAATTTAAAAAAATTACAATGAATAGGCAGTCCCCTGCCAGACAATGTACATCTACAGTGTCAGCAACTGTAGCAGTCATTTTATGACCATGAGGTAAACTACCCAAATTGGAATAATCCAACTTGCTGAAAATGGCAGAACAGAAATCTGATTTATTATGTCACCAAGGTCATTAAATTAGCCTAATTTGGAGTTTTTCTTCAGGTAGATTTAGTGTTGAAATTATTAGCTTTTCACACATTACATCAATATTCATCCATCTCAGCACAGAATCACAAATATTGGTGGTGATACATGGCTCACAATGTGGAGTTAATGTATCAAAGGCATATGTAAATACAGTGTAATCACATCTTTGAACAAGAATTTTCCTACAAATTAGTAAAAAGTTGAACATAAAATAAAGTTCAACATACATGTTAAATATTAAGTTACTAAAAAATACCAAAAACTAAAGTCACACAATTTTATTACAAAAGATTAAACTCATTAGCCACTAAAAAAGAAATGCAGTTCCAACTCACAGGATTTAAAGTAATTCTTTATTGATAAACATTTACACTTGAATTAGAAATGTCAGTAGAAAAATAAAATTTAAATAATTTTCTATTGTACAAAGATTTGATCCTTTTGACTGTTGCAGTTAGTGAAATAACCTAATACAAAATGTTATGCTGATTTGGTCACAACCAGCCTTACAGAATGCACAAAAAGAAATGCAAGTTCACAAAAACGTTCTGCGTGTTGATCACTGATGGCACCAGGGCTTCACATTCCAGGAAATGGTTCCTCAGGGACAGGAGGCGTGTGCTGCAGTGTAGTAAGAACTTTATACAAACCAGAGCAGTCAGAAAGGATATTGGAATCAAAAGTCAACATACCATGTAAAAACTTAAAAAAACATAAGGAAGGATTTAAAGTTCATTATTTGCATTAACTGTTTCTCACTAGTTTAAACGTTTCATGAAAATTAGTATCCTGCTGCAAAAAAAAAAAAAAAATAGCTAATAGCACAGAGAAAAATCTTTCTCATAATATTCATTATGCATTTGTTTATGAACTTAAGTTCACAAAATGCCTTTACCCCAAAATCCTATTAAAGAATCAAGAAATCAGCTTTAATGGTTGGGGGCTGCCTCCCCACATTAAAAAACCGTTGGGGGGGGGCAGTGGAAGCATAGCTAGGGGAGTGGTGGTTACATCTATCTCTAAGAAAGTCAGTTGTTGGCAAAAGTTCTCAAAAAACTATATAAGGTAAAATGTTCAACATAAATGCCAATATTCTTCCATCTGAGCAACCACCTGCAAATAAATCTGTATTTGAGACAAGGAAGAGAGAAAGAAAAAGGGAGGAAAAGAGAAAAACAAAGTGGAATACATTCTTTGTTTAGCATTCAAATAGTTTTTCCCTGAAAACATTTCAAGCTACACAGCGCAATCTATACATTTATTCACAGGAAAATGCTTCACATACTGGGATGGAGGAAACATTTAGCAATTTAAAGATACAATTTATATTTGAAGTTTTTAAAGAGTAGATAATCAAATAAGAAACAGATGCCTAAATTTCAAAATGCCTAAATTTTTGTCTTGGCTCTAAAAAAGGAAAAAAAGAAACTAACATTTTAATCATGGATCAATACGTTGAAAAATTAGATTTCAGGGGGAAGGATCCAATTACTGGCCCACATGTTTGTGACATATCCAAAAGAATGTTTTAGGCAAGAAAAAAGCATTTTTTCAACAGAGATGATCTAAAACCATTTCCCAAAAGAAGGGATATAATACCCATATTTCTTAAACTGAAGGGATATTTTCTAAAATCATAGCTTTTCAACTGAAAACTGTAATCTTTAAATATTTTTTGGAAGAAAGATTTGAGCTTATTTTTTTGTAGCACTGAGAACTGAACCCAAGAGTGCTCTACCATTAAGCTACCACCCCAGCCTTTTCACTTATTTGAGATGGGGTCTCACTAAGTTCTCTGGACAGGACCCAGACTTGTGATCCTCTTGCCTTAGCCTCCTGAGTCAGTGGGATTACAGGAGTACACCACCATGCCCAGCTTAGATTTGAGTTTCTTGTTGGGGATTTTGAAAGGAAATTCAGCTGCACTCAATTAGTTTTAACAAGCAGTCTAATTTGTTAAAAGAAAATGTCCAGTGAATTTTGTAATTCCTTTATAATTTTTCTCTATGAATTCCACTGGCAAATGTCCTCCTAGCTTCTTCTAATCAGAAGCCAGAGTGCATTTTGTTTTAAATGGAATAGATTCATGTGCATATGACCTCGTGGGTTGTCAGCCTTAATCTCATAATGAAAGTTCTCCTTTAAAAATGTCAGAATTAAGGAGAGGTAGAGGGGGCAGTGATACTGGCCAAATTATATTGTTATATTGTGTGCACACGTAGGAATATGTAACAACAAATCCCAATATTATGTGCAACTATAATGCACCAAGAAAAATGTGGAAATAAAGAAAGTCAGGGTTAACGATCAGAAGTTATTTTGAAAACAGGTAACATCACTGATTGTATTCTACACAAACAGTTTAGGGGTAAGGATCAAATGACTTAATTTTTGCAATGTTCTTGCTTTTGAAGGTCAAAGTTTTCAGGCCTTTTAATAAAAAAGAAAAGCAGTAGGATAAAAATTAAAATAGCTAAAATCGAGTTTAAAAAACTTGATATTTAATTGTCTTTAGGGGTATCAATTTTCTTAAAAGAAGTGTAAAGGGCAGAATGGGGACAGATCTGAAAATAAAACTTCAGGCACTTAATGGGAGTAGACACTCAAAAATACTGCACAAGTGGCTGAAGAGCCACCACCAGGTAAACACATCAGGACTAAGGAACCAATAACCACCAATGCTATTTTCAGCTGTACTTCTATAATTGTCTCAAGTCATTAATCCACCCCAGTCACTAAGAAAATCTATAGCAGAATGTTTTAAGTATCTTATTTGTGCCTCGGTGTCCAAAGAATATTCTAAACAATCTTGCTTAAAATTTTCAACTTAGCTGCTTCAGAGGGTATGTAGATTTCTAATTAAACTAAATAAAATAAGCCAAATTAAAAGCAATAAGAGGGCTAGGGTTGTAGCTCAGTGGTAGAGCACTTGCCTAGCATGCGTGAGGCACTGTGTTCCATCCTCAGCACTGCATATAAAGTATTATGCCCACCCACAATTTAAAACAAAAAGCAATAGGAAAAAGTATAGAAATCCTTTCTTTCTTTCTTTCTTTTTTTAAAGTGCCAGCCAGGTGTAATGGTGCATTACTGTAGTCCCAGTTTCTCAGGAGGCCCAGGAAGGAGGATTGCTTGAGCACAGGAGTTTGGGGCCAGAATATAACAAAACCCTCTTTAAAAAAAAAAAGTCAATTAGCTAGCTTCTTTTAATCAATTGTAAAAAAACAAACAAACTCATATCTCTTAAAATATTTTAACGGTGGAACCAAAGTCACTACTTGAGTTATACTTCAACTTATTTCCTGTTACATTTCACCAAATTTGCTCTCAAAGCTATACTCAACCAAAACCTAGTTGGCTTTACTGTCATGAAGATACAGTGAAAGAAGAGTTTCCCAAATATTAATCAAGATTAGATCAACTAAGATTTTAATGCAGCTTATTCTGCTCATGCTAAATACACCAATATTGCCCAGTTTCTCTGAAATATGCAACATTCATGAAATATGGATTTTCTCACCAAATATAGTAAGGGATATTCCAGTGTAAGGGAAGCCAACCCAAAGGCACAGTTGGCCTGGTTTAGGTAAAAGTATGTGTGTAAAACTTAATCTACAAAAAAGAGGCCAAGAAACTTGTTTTGTCTTGGTTGAGAATGATAGGAGTCCAAAAAGATCTTCAATGGCTACAGCTTCAAACTGAAGAAATATCTGATATGTTCTTCACATTCCTGTTGAACCAAGTTGCTTCCACTTGAAGAAATAAAACACACTACACTCCATCATGTATTCTCTGAGGATTCTAGAAAACTTAGGTTGGACATCACAGCATAAGGGTGTATGCTATAGAGTAGCTAAAATCCGTAAAAAGGAGACCACCACCACACAGAATGTCTGTCCAGTGCCCAAGGTCAAGGCTTCAAACGGTATCATCTCCTTCCCTGCTGCTCGGTAAACTCCAGCAATTGCTGCACCTGGTTCAAAAATTCAAGTACATTGAAGAAAAAAAATGAGGTCAACAAAATCGTGAAATTTAGCATTTAAAATTCTACTCTAAGTAGAATGTTCCAGTTTTTTTTTACTTTAAAATTTAAATACTATAGAAATGTCTTGTTTCCCCTATTCTTTCTGCTGATCACCTGAGGTTTTGTTGTTGTTTGTTTTTTTCAAGGCAAGGTCTCACTATGTTGCCTAGGCTGGCCTCAAACTTGCAATTCTTCTGCCTCAGTCCCCCAAGATTATTCTAGTTAAGTATTCTTTATATGGTTTGCAAATCACTGACCTGTGATTTTAGATGTAGACTCTATAAAACTCAAAGTCTCCTAGATTTACTGAGTAGAATAATCTGGAAGTAATAAGATCACAAAGAGCAATTCCTTCATAACCTTGAATGTGAACTCAAAAACATCTCTTTATTCCTGTGCCAATTAGCCCCATGCCCAGCATTGAAGAGGTATGAAATAAATGACAAACTTCTAAGTGAGACTAAGAAAGAAATGTTCAGGCCACAGGAAATCCCTGCTCTACCTTGTTATATTCAGGGTTCCCTTCAAGAAGGGGAAGAGGAGGGAGTAATGGGATGGTAAAGGAAGAAAGGAGGACTTAGCCTAAGCCACAAAGTTCTTAATTCAAAGGGTACACAAAAACAGGGATACTTAAGGGTTCTGTTTTAGTCTCATGCTATTAACTTTCCTATGCAGTCACTGTAACTGCCTAGAAATTGAGAACACAAAACAAAAAACACCTGTATCTACCCAGATACACACACACATATATATGAACAAGAAGAAAGAAGAGTAATTAGCCAAAGTTGGTTTTCTTGAACATTCGACACTCTAAAATGCCTACGACCCCTGGCATTGTCACTAATGTCTGAAAGCACATCTCACTGGGACTCTTTGTGACGTAAGCTTAAGCTACTTGAAATGGGTCCTAAAGTGGTATGTATTTATTTTTATTTTTTTAAACCAGGGATTGAACCAAGAGATGCTTAACCACTGAGCCACATCCCCACTATTTTTTATTTTTTATTTAGACATAGGGTCTTGCTAAATTCTGAGGCTGGCTTTGAACTCGTGATTCCCCTACCTCAGCCTCCTGAGTTGCTGGGATTACAGGCATGCGCCACCATGTCCAGCCCTAAAGTGGGATTTAGATGATGGAGGGCAGAAAGGAAAAAGCCCACCAGAGAAAACAGCAAATGGGAAGGGAATAAACTCCACCCTAATGCCTAAAGATAGAAATAAACACAGCATTTATACATAATCACTGCAGAGCAGGCATCAGTTTAGGTGCTTCATTGTGTGTACTATCTCATTCAGTCATCACCCAGGCTGTAAAACGGTTACATTACCAGGGAATAAACCCAGAGGTGCTTAACATTTAAGCCACATCCCAGCCGTTTTTATTATTGTTTTTGGTACCATGCCAGGGTCTCACTAAATTGCTGAGGCTGGCTTTGAACTTGTGATCCTCCTGCCTTAGCCTCACCAGTTGCTGGGATTACAGGTGTGCACCACCATGCCTGGCAGTATTATCCCTATTTTACTGATGAGAAAAATGAAGCTGGTGCCTGGGGCCAGTAATCAAGTGTAGAAACTGGAGCAGAGGTCTCTGCAACTGCAGGAGGTAATGCCATCAACAGAAATTGGGTCACACTGTCTCAAAACAAAAAACAAAACAAAAACCCTTAAGTCAAAGAGACCAAGGAAATTTCTGTTTAAAGCTCAAGGTTTAAATTCACAGTGAAAAAACTAAAGTGACAAATTTGTGGGACTATTAAGTGTCTGTGTTCTATGAATATATTTATGTTTATATGTATACCTAAAAAAAAAAATGCAACAAACTGTGGTAGTTATTATTAATATATATCATAATTTTTTAATTTTGCTTCCTTATAGTTTGCAATTTATATAAAACATGTTTATATGCTATTGTGAGCTTAAAAATAATTTAAACTTATTATTCTCACCATTGTAATTGTGTCCTATGACATGAGCCAAAAGCCAAAGAGCAAAACAAAAACAAAAAGCAGGTTTAAAAATACAATTATTTTAAAAATAATATCCATGTTTTTCCAGTTATTTTTGAGAAAGTTCTAAGGGGCAGGGGGAAAGGAAATAAACAGAACACAAATCAGGTACTTCTCAGGAAGTCAAAGATTAGCCAAACAAAGGGGGTTTGGGAATAAGAAAAAACAATACATTAAGGAATAGGACCTAAGATTAAAAAACACTTTTTATTATTTATCCTACTCAAATACGTTCTAAAACAAGTCCTGAAATTAACTGACTTATCACATTAAACGTTTTTGACTGGTATTTTAATGTCTAACATACTTGTCAAGATTCCAGCAGTAATTGGTCCCACGATGCCCATCAACAGGATGCTTACAGACATGAACCTACCATATTTGTGATGTCTGAGGGTGAAGAGGGCCAGTAATCCAGCGGGGACATGAAAGAAGAGGGAGGACACCAGTGCCCACAGGAACACACCATACCACATCTCTGCGAGAAAAGAGAAAGGCAAGCTGCAAATCACTCACCTTCCCAGTTAACTTCATTTTCAAAATCATTCAGCTGCACTATAGGTTAGTTCATCAGTCCTATGTCCAAATACTGATGGTTTCAGCAGGTTCAGCAAATGACCACTCCCAGGCCACCACCTGTTTTTTGTACTTAAGGACTTATCTGAATCCACTAGAAGATTATAAACATAAAAACTTCTTTAAACCTACGTCTGTTCACTTAAGTATTGTCTATGACAGTTTCCAGCTTCAAGGGCAAAGCTGATGTTATGGTTTGGATATGAGATTCCCCACAAAAGCTCCAGTGTTAATGTTAACATAGGAATGTTCAGAGGTGGACTGATAAGATTGTAGGGACTGTACCTGAATCAGTCCATTCTAGTTTGAATGGTCTGTCTGGGTGTTAACCATAGCCAGATGGGGTGTGGCGGGAGGAGGTGGGTTACTGGGGGAGCACCTAGAAGAGTCTATCTTCCTTGCAGCGACCACACTCCCTTCCTGACCTGCCCTGAGCTGAGCAGTGTTTCTCTGACAGGCCCTTCAGCCATGATGTACTTCTGCCTCACCTTGGTCCCAGAGCAAAGGACTCAGCCAACCACAAACTAAACCTCTAGAACCCCTTAGCCAAAATAAACTTTTCCTCCTCTTAAGTTGTCAGATATTTTGGTCACAGTGACAAAAAACTGACTAACATATCTGACACAGGAACAGAGATCACATGGCCTACAAAGCCTAAAGTATTTACTTTCTAGCTCTTTACAGAAAATATTGACCAACCCCCGATAAGCTACCTACAGCCTCAAACTGAAACAACAAACATCTAGATCTGTAAAAAAATCCAAATAATTTTCCAACTATGTGAAGCACAAGACTGAGTACCAAACTGAATACGCTAACATGCAGCAGATGCCTGTTGCCCTTTCCTGTCTTTGATTATCTAGTCTTCTAAAATGGAAAAGCTATTCCAGTATATTTATGCAACAGTCTCTTAAAGACAATGCAGTAAATATCAAGCCATCACCTGCTATTAGGATATCAAAGCTCTTTCTTTCTTTCTTTGTACCAGGGATTGAACCCAGGAGTGCTTAATCACTGAGCCATATCCCCAGCCCTTTTTATTATTATTATTATCATTTTGGTACTGTGACAGGTCTCACTAAGTTGCTGAGGCTGGCTTTAAACTTGCAATCATCCTGCCTCAGCCTCCCAAGCCACTGGGATTATAGGCATGCACCACTGCACCCTGTAGGATATCAAAGCTTTTTAAGCTGTAAAATAAACACCAGAAAATGTTTGTCTTGAAGAAAATGGCAGGTAAGAGATAAGGCAGGTTAGAAGAGCTAGTTCCTAAGGAGAGACTCTACCCACTCTTAAGATGACTGAAAATGAGCACTCTCCCCCACCCCTTTTTGGTGCTGGGGATTGAACCCAGCATGATAAGCACACACTCTACCACTGAGTTATGAGCTATACCCCAAGCCAAGGTTAAAATATTTGATCACCAACTATGTTTGAAAAAAACTGTATCAACTAGTCATGGTGGTACATGCCTGTAATCCCAGTGGCTCAGGAGGCTAAGGCAGGAGAATCATGAGTTCAAAACGAGCTTCAGCAACTTAGTGAGGCCCTAAATAACTAAGCAAGACCCTGTCTCTAAATAAAATATTTAAAAAGGGCTGGGAATGTGGCTCAGTGGTTAAGCACTCCTGGGTTCAAGCCACAGTACCAAAAAAAACCCCTACATCAGGTCCCTTAGAAAATAGACTAGCTATCCTCATGAGCTATCCAAAAGACAGAATGAAGGTGGCACATTAGCTAAAACTCAATATTCACCGTTAGGCTGGGGCAGGGAAGTAGCAGGCAAAGGTAGAGATCAGTGCTCAGCTTAACCCAGCAGGGTTTTTCCACCAGGTACCACTGCCATGTCCACTGGATAACTTTGTTGGGGTGGGAGGTGCTGTGCTGTGCTTTGTAGGAACATGGAACAGCATCTCTGGCTAGAAGCAGCACTCCGCCACAGAAGTGACACTGAAAATATCTTTAGACATTGACAAATGTCTACAAGGAGGCAAAATTGTCCTGATTAAAAACTAGTAGCTTGCCGGGTAGCCCAATGGCACACACCTATAATCCCAGTGACTTGGGAGGCTGAAGCAGGAAGATCCTAAGTTTGAGGTCAGCCTCAACAACTTAGTGTGACCCTGTCAAAATAATTGGCCTTGGGGCTGGGGCTGTAGCTCAGTGGCAGAGGGCTTACCTTGCAAGTGTGAGGCACTGGGTTCAAACCTCAGCACCACACAAAAATAAACAAATAAAATAAAGGCATGCTGTCCATCTACAACTACAAAAAAAAAAAAAAAATTTAAATAAATAACTGGCCTATTTTAGTTATTTGCAAATTCTATTAAAAACACATTTAAATCATGCAATATGGACTATAAATACTCATACCCCAAGCTTAAAAAATTTAAGTACATATTATATAGAAATAAAAATAGTAGCTCTGTGTCCCAGAGTTTAATCACCAGTACTAAATAAATACATTTCTGATAGGATTGTGGCCTTATAAGAAGAGATCCCAATCTCCAAGAAGAGAGATGATCCTAGTCTCTCTTTCTCTCCCTCCCTCCCTCCCTCTCCCCCTCCCTCCCCCATATCTATCTATGTATCTCTCTCTCTCTCTCTCTCTCTCCTGCCATGTGGAGATACAGCAACAAGGCAGCCACCTGCAAGCAGGAAATCAGTCCTCACCAGAACATGACAATGGTGGCATCATGATCTCAGACTTCCAACCTCCAGAACTAAGAAAATAAATGTCAGGGGCTGGAGATGTGGCTCAAGCGGTAGCGCGCTCGCCTGGCATGCATGTGACTTGGGTTCGATGCTCAGCACCACATACAAATAAAGATATTGTGTCCACCGAAAACTAAAAAATAAATAATTCTCTCTCTCTCTCTCTTTAAAAAAAAAAGAAAATAAATGTCTATTGTTTAAGCAATTTATTGTATTTGTTTTGTTAACACCACCAGGAGCTAAAACACCATTCCCACCTCCTCTGGAGCATGGCACCTGCCAAGCAGACCTACCAGACCCACACCTCAACTCCTCTGAGAGCTTAATAGCCAATTTGTGAACAGTTTATAGCAGGTGGGCGCTTCCCCAAGTTTCAGAAGGGGGAAGCATACTGCACCCCTACAGCCCTAAGCCACATCCACCGGCTACTTCAGTGCCTACATATAGTACCACTTAAGTCACTTCAACTAGAAAAAAAATGTTTTATTAGACGAGTAGCACAGTTTATAAAAGCACTTTTCTGATGGATGGGATTTTTACAGGACTCTTAATAGCAAAAGCAAAACTGGATCTATAAAATGCTTTTTTAAAACCTAAGTGATTTCTCTTTAATCTACTGCACCTTAATTTTCCATCTATTTAATAGCTATTTATTGATTGCCATGTAGCACTTTCATCTCCCTGGCTCAATAGACTGTCAAAAATATTTGTCTACATATCTTACAGTATTTCCTTTTCACTGCTTCAAATCAAGCACATCATCTTCAGTTCTGTTTACCTTGGCAGCTATGTTAGTCTATTCTGTGCTGCTCTAACAGAAATGTTTTGGCTCACAGTTCTGGAAGCTGAGAAGTTTAAGACTGGGAGGCTACATCTTAAGAGTCAAGCATGGTGGCACACCCCTTTAATTCTAGCAACCGGGGAAGAGCAGGAAGGCAAATTTGAGGCCAGTCTCAGCAACTTAGACCCTGCCTTAAAATTGTAAAAAAGGGCTGGGGCTATAGCGCAGTGGTACAGTACCGCTGGGTTCCATCCCTAGTACAAAAAAAAAAAAAAAGAGAGAGAGAGAGAGAGAGAGAGAGAGAGAGAGAGGAGCTACACCTGGTAAGGGCATCCATGCATGTAACACTGCAGAAGTGTCAAACTGAGGGGAAAAGACATGGAGAGAGTGCAAGAGAGCCAAACCTGCCAGGTGTGGTGGCACACTGTAATCCCAGCAACACAGAAGGCAGAGACAGGAGAATTCCAAGTTCAAGGGCAGCTTCAGAAACTTAGAGAGGACCTAAACAATTTAGTAAGACCCTGTCGCAAAGAAAAAATAAAAAAGGTCTGGGAATGTGGCTCAATGGTTAAGTGCCCATGGGTTCAATCAATCCCTGTTACCAAAAAAATTAAAAAATAAAAAGGACTAGGGATAGCTCAGTGGTATAGTGTCCCTGGGTTTAATACCCAGTACCAAATAAAGATTATAGACCTGTGCCACCACACCCGGCTTAAAGTCAGAGTTCTAAGTACACCACAACAGTCCTGGGGATGACAGTCCTATCGGATCCCCCAACTCCTGGAGTCAGATTGCCTTGAGGCTCATCACCCAGCAACCTGCACCTCTCCACTGTCCACTGGGAGACCCTTCTTTCTTTTTTTAATATAACAGTAGGTTTCTTCCTTTTTCAAAAATATTTTTTAGTTGTAGATGGACACAATACCTTTATTTATTTATTTTTATGTGGTGCTGAGGAGCATACCCAGTAACTCACATGTGCCAGGCAAGTGCTCTACCACTGAGCCACAACCCCAGCCCTGGAAGACCCCTCTCTTTACAAATCCCACCTACCTACAAGGAGTATGCCTGTTCCATTCCCTCCTCTCTAACAACTTGCCTTTGGGACTCTCACTACCAACTGAGGTCTGTCACCTCTCTCCTGACACTGTTGCCAGCCTGCCCACTTACCACTGGCCTTCCTCACCCCAGGGGTCTCTTGACCCTGATCTGGCCTTCCATCTTTTCTCTACACAAAGCCAGTCAGTCATTGTTATTGGAGTCAAGGTTTCTTGTAGGGGTGATGAACATATTTTCAAACTGACTGTGGTGATAGTCATACAATTCTGAAATATACTAAAACCCACTGGATAATACATTAAAAAAAAAAAAAAAGCAAGTCAGATCATCCCTCCTTCCTCCTCAAGTCCTGCAAGACCGCCTTCCAGGATCTGATCTCAGCTCCTCCTTTCTTCCTTACCCCATATTGCACTCAGGGACCCTGAATGTCTCCTAGTTTACTCAGAAGCCCAGGTTTAGAAAAACTGACCGAGTTCACCTACTTGTTTGACCTGAAACATAAGGTCTGAGAAAGGAACACAGGGCCAGCTGAAAGGAGCCTCTAAATCTGGAGCCCTCTTGCCTACACTTTCCTGTTTTCCTCGATTCCTTCAGATCTCTGCTCCAATGTCACTATCAAGGCCATCCTGCTCACCTGATGTAAAATAGCAGTCCATAGCCCCTTACACACACATAAGGGACTAGGGACTGCTATTTTCCATGCACCCATTACACCAAGCATAACAGCTAAGGGTGAGACACTGCCAGGAGGGTATGTGCTTACCACCACATTCTGATCACCTAACTTGAAGTCAAAGGGCTACACCTCATACATGTACTCAGCCAAATGTATGAATGACTCCTGGTTATCAATAACTTCAAGTTACATGTCCATGGCAGCAATGGTAAACTCAAGAACATGTTGCAGTTTAATATTTTCAGAACCATTTCTGAGAGCAAAACAATTTTCATTGCTACAGATTCTTTACTATGATGTAACTATCATCCCAGATCCCTTATCTCAATCTTTTCTTAAAGCGAACTAAAAGCCAGACAGACTAGATAGGACATTCCATTCCAAATTATCACCCACATAAGACATTTAATTATGAAAGGATTAAGGTATCCTTAGGTGGAGAGATTTGACAAACACCATCTTCACCAAATGGTCAAAGTTACCATTATCAGTAAAGGTACACACTTACATTATCACCTGATGATACTCTAACAAGTGCAAAATATCACATCTGTTGGAACATTCTGATAAAAAAATGTTTAATCAATTCATGAAGAAAAATCAAAGAGCTGGGCGCAGTGGTGCATGCTGTAATCCCAGCAGCTCTGTAAACTGAGCAGGAGGATTATGAGTTCAAAGCCTAACTCAGCAAAACTGAGGGGCTAAGCAATTTGGTGAGACCCTATCTCTAAAGAAAATACTGGGGATGTGGCTTAGTGGTCGAGTACCCCTGAGTTCAATCCCCAGTACCAAAAAAAAAAAAAAAAAAGAAAGAAAAATCAACAAACCTAGAATATTAGACATTCTACACAATTAGCTTAGACTGTTCAAAAGTGTCAGTTTCAAGAAATTGAAATAAAAATAGAAGAATATTGTTCTAAGTTAAATGAGACTAAAGAGACATAACAACTAAATGCAATGGGTGAACCTTGTTCAGATCCCCCCAAAAATAAGGGGGGACCATTTGATCAATTGAGGGGAGATTTAAATAAGGCCTATTTGATCACTGTTAAATATCTTAGGAGTGATATAATTTTGTAGCTATGAAAGAAAATCCCTTGTGTTAGCAGCAGCATGCTAATGTATCAGACATTAAGTGCCATGAATCCTGCAACTTCTTTTGAAAGGGCTCTGGAGGAAGTTAAAACATGAGTATGCATATATATTTATAGAAGAAAATTTAAAAGTCATGCACCCCCATGTTTTAATTAGTGATAGATCAAATATATGATGGTGGTCTCATAAAATTATAACATAGCCTAAGTATGTAGTAGACTATACCATTTAGAGTTGTGAAGTACACTAATATTCACAAAACAAAAATGCTTAATGAAAAGAGAAAAACTAGGGAATGGACAAATTATATTGTGATATTGTGTGCATGTACAAATAAGTAACAAATCCCACCATTATGTACAACTATAATGCACCAATAAAAATGTGGAAAAAATTAAATTTTAAAAAAGAACTGCTTGCTGGGGTTGTGGCTCAGCAGTAGAGCGCTTGCCTAGCACTGGCAAGGCCCTGGGTTCGATCCCCAACACCACATAAAAATAAAGATATTGTGTCCAACAACAACTAAAAAATAAATATTAAAAAAAGAACTGCTTAACAAGCCCCAGTTGTTAAATGATGCATGACTGTATCACTGAATCCTAGCATATGAGTAACTGCTATACTATTCTTTCAATTTTTCAGGAGGTTTGAAATTTCCCAAGTAAAGTTGGGGGAAGGGGGAAGAATAAGGCAACAAAACCAGACTAACCTAGTCATGATAGTGTATGAATGTTTCAGGTTTTGGACAGGGTCTCCAGAATGTTGTGTATTTTTGTTTTCGGTGTCAGCTGTGCTCTTAATACTTTTTGAAACAACTTGAGCTGCCAGATTCTCATTTTAGGCATGATTACAAACTTCCATCTTCATTCACCCCCAACACAGATTACCATCATCTTGTCTGCTACTTCACCAACGGCGCTAGACATGTGATACACAGCAAGTCTCAGGTGTCCACTGAATGGTGCCTGCCAGTGGCTGCCCACTGGATGACAAATCACAGGTGCCTTGTTTAAGACTGCAGTCCATCCGCCTTCCCTTTGCACTGTCTCAGGCCCGTTCTTTGTTTATTGGGTCAGTCAACCGCCAGAGAACCCCCAAATCCCCCTTCAATCGCCACTCGTCTGTCTTCTGGCCTTTAAAGGTCCAATACAAATAACTATGCCCGCCTCTCGAAGAAGTCTTTATTAATCTTCCTAAAGGAGGTAATTCCTCATCTCTAAGCACTGACAATTCTATTTTGTATTACAACTTTGAGAACCCCACCAGGCCGAGCAGAAGGTCAGATGGGGGTAAGAGGAGTTAAAAAGACTCGGTCAAAGACGTACAAGGCGTGGTGGGAGAACCGGCAACAGGTCTCAGCAAGTGATTCCAGGTAAACCAGCTGGAAAAGGGGTGGGTTTGGACCGGGTGCCAGCGATCAGCAGCCGGGCTCCTGGAGCAGAGGGGCTGAGCTACAGGCTACACACAAAGGAGGGGTGGGTTCTGACCGCTGCTCGGCCAGACAGACACGATCCAGCCAGGGTCCCCGCGACAGGCGGCCAGGCGGCCAGGCGCCATTCCGCGCCGCCAACGAGCCGGGCGCGACTCTGAAGCAGGCGCCTTCAAAACTGCAAAACCCAAGACCGGCCCCTCCTGCCTCCGGGTCCACCTGCGGCCGCTCCCTCCAACTTCGGCCGCCTCCGCGCTGGCATCGGGTGGCGGGGCCCCGGGGACCTGCGAGGACGTGGCCGGAGACGTGGATCTGGGAGCCTGAACCCAGCTCTGCGAGAGAAGTCGCAGCCCGCCGGCCGGAAGCACAGTGCGCAGGCGCGGGGCGGGGCCGTACCTGGGAAGGAGCAGAGAGAAGTGGAGTTGGGGCACAGGGTCCCGTTGCCCACCCGTGGCACGAGCTTCAGGCTGAGGATCTGCTGCAGGAGTCCGGCCGAGCCTCCGCTGCCGCCGCTCCCCTCGTGCTCCATCCCGCCGCCATACACCGCATAAAGATGAGGGGAGAGCGCCCGAAGTGCTGCACAGCCTAACTCCCCGCACCTCAGCAGACTCAGCGTCACCTTCGGTCGAGGCCCTCTTCCCCCCCCACCCTTAACGGCGTGGCCAAGAGATAGTTCTTCCTTCCAATCACAGGGCGCCGCCAGATGTAAGGGGCGGGGTGAAAGTTGTCTCCGCCTTTGACGTTGCGTACGGCTCGCCAAGAACTAGTGCCCGGCGGGTTACGCCCCCTACTGGAGAATCTCCTGCTCCTTCGGAGCAGGCTGGCCTCTGCTCTGCTCTACAGCGCCACCTATAAAAAAATAGGCCAATTGCATACGTCCTATAAGACAAAAGATGGAAATTTAAAAGGGGTCAGACAGTAATCATAACAAATTTGTTGATCTTAGCAACTGTTGTTCTAGCTAGTACTGGATCCAAATATCTATGAGGTTCTTTCTTTTTTTTGCGGTAATGAGGATTGAACCCAGAGAGTGGTGTCCTACCACTGAGCCATATCCCTATTTTTATTTATTTATTATTTTATATTTTATTTATTTTTATGTGGTGCTGAGGCTCGAACCTAGTGCCTCACACGTGCTAGGCGAGCACTCTACCACTGAGCCACAACCCCAGCATTATTTTTTATTTTGACTCAGGGTCTCTCTAAGTTGCAGAGGGTGGCCTGGAACTTGCCATCATCCTGCCTCAGCCTTCCCTTATGAAGCTTTTTTGAAAAGAACATGAAAGTTCTGTAAAGCTAACTACGGGAGAAAGATTCCATTCGAAGACATGTGTGGGAATGGGAAGGGAGACTATGGATATATGTGCTAAAGTTTTTAAGTGAAGTGAAAATTTAAGAGAGATTCCAATTCAATACTGCAAAATTGTATCATTTCCCTTCAGCAATGTTTAAATTAAAATTTAAAAATCAAGACAAGGAATAAACAAATAGAGTTCTCTAACAGAATTTAGTAAGAATGAGAGGTTTCAACAAATTTCAGAAGACGGTATAGCTGTATAAATAAATACTTATTGAATATTTTATTATGTGTCACCAAGCCAAATGATAGCTATGCAATATCTGATTAGCCTGAACATCTCAGTGAAATTATTATTCTTATCTTATTTTATGCCTATTTCACAGGAGAAACTGATATTTAAAACACATAATTTGGCCAACACCACAAAATTAATAAATATCCAAGATGAGATTTTAGCATAGATTTTTCCAGCACCTACCCTTTATACCATGTTTTGTAAAAGGAAGCCATAATTCAGGGACACCATGAAGGACAAGGAATCCTCTGGAAGCTTTGTGAATAAATAAGAAAGGAGGTTGGACACACAGAGATTCACTGAGAGTCCACCTCCAAGATAGCTCCATCAATTCTCTCCTCCATCCCCTGCCCCACCTGTGCATAAAACAGCTGACCCTAGAAGAAATAGAAAATGCAGGAAACAGAAAATAAATAATTTTCCTAATTAGCACACTCAAAAGAGCAGCAAGGAGATGTTGTATTCATAAAATCAAAATAGGATGCTATGAAAAAGGAGTAGAAAACAAGAGAGCTCTTAGAAATTAAAAATATGACTTCTGAGTTATATAATTTCATAGATTAATTAGAAAATGAAGTTGTGGAAATTAATGTTAGAGCCATTAGTGGAAAGGGAGAGCAAAGATAAGAGACAGAGAGGGACTGGGTACAGTAGCACACATCTGTAATCCCAACAACTTGGGAGGTTGAGGTAGGAGGTTCTTACCTTCTAGGCCAATCTGGAGAGCTCAGTGAGACCCTGTCTAAAAATAAATTTTTTAAAAAGAGCTGGGGATGTGGCTCAGTGGTAGAGTGTCTCTGTGTTCAATTCCCAGTACCACGGGCAGGGAGGCAGAGATCTGGAAGGTTAAACCATTTAATTAATGGGCATTTTCGAAAAAAGTAGCAGAAAAAAATCGCAAGAATAAACTTTAAAACATAGTTGATGCAGAACTGAAGAGATACAAAAGTGATCAAGTGTGTAAGAGAAGGAAGGAGGGTGGGGCCATATATAACACATCCTTGTAAAATTTCGTAACTAAGAATAAACAAAATAAATAGTGAGTTATATGATATGCAGTCATATTTCCGTTTTAAAATATTTTTAAATGCTTAACAAGTCAGACACACACAGAAACTACATATTACATGATCCCATTTCTATGAGAAATCCAGAAAGGCATGCCTTTATAGAGACAGAAAGGTGAGTAGGGATTGCCTGGGGCTGGCAGTGAGAATGAGGAGTGATGGTAATCGAGCATGAGGGATCTCTGGGACGATGGAAATGCTGGACTGTGGTGATGGTTGCACAACCCCCAAAGTTTATGAAGACCTTGAATTGTACACTTAAATCAAATGAATTTAAAGGTGCATGAATGACATATTTAAAAAGTGTTTTTGGAAAATTACCAATAGAATACTAAAATCTCTGTTTAGGTTAGTTGGAGTGTTCAAATGTCATTTTTAACATTAATAACGGTAGCAATCATCTTAGCTTTCTACTCTTAACTTTCAGAGTCATTTCATTATTTGACCTAGGAGGGAGAAAAAGAAAAATACTTTAAAGATGACTTAGGAATTTAGTAAGTCATTGAAACTGAAACTTTTCATGGTGTTAGTTGAAATTAAAAGATCGTGTGAGACTTACAGATATTTTCCCAGTGATTCTAGACTTCTTGTCAGTATTTCATATTCTGTAGAATTTGGGGGCATGTGACAACATGTGATTACTGCCAACAACATTTTTCCATAATTGTGCTGTATCCAAGGCACACTCTGGTAATAAATGATGCTGTTGAACCCTCCCAAAGAAAAGAAGAAAAAGGAAAACAATAAAGAGAAAGTCCCTGGGCCGGGCATGTCCTCCAGTTGTAGAGTGTTTGTCTAGTGTGCCTGAAGCCCTGGTTGGATACCCAGCACAAAAAATAAAATAACATGGTTTGGCAGTCAAGTGAAGGAGGATGGTAGACAATGCACTAGTACCTTCAATATTCAGAGAGCAAATTTTTTTAAGCCTAATTTATTTTAAATTAAAAAGCATTGTAGAAAATACATAATATTTTCCCTTTAATTCAAGGACATTAGCAAGATTGTTTATTAGAGTTCTCTCCTGAAGACTGCGTTTAGAGTCTTTCTAATGCCAATCCCCTAATACTGTGGCTATGATTTTGCATCAACCAAGGAACTTATCTAAAATAAAAATAGTAAGTATTAAAAATGTCATGAAATATTTACCAATGCTTCCTTTTCAGTACATTGCCCAGAGTAGCAGGGTACATTAGAAGTGGAACAAACCAATCATTTTAGGTTTATGTAACAATCAATTGTGCATCACATTAGGGAACATTATTTTGAATTTAAAATTCCCAGTCAAATTATGAATTGAGAGGTCAGAAGAAAGACATTTAGATTTGCAGAACTCAGAAAATGTGTTTTATGTGCCCTTTCTTTCTTTTCTTCTTTCTTTCTTCTTCTTCTTTTTTGGTACCAGGAATTAAACCCAGGGGTGCTTAACCAATGAGCCCCATCCCCAGTCCTTTTAAAAATATTTTATTTAGAGACAGGGTCTCACTAAGTTGCTTGGGCTTCACTAAATTGCTGAGGATGGCTTTGAACCTACAATCCTGCTTCAGCCTCCCAAGTCGCTGGGATTATAGGCATGCACAACCTCACCTGGTTTATGTGCCTTTGGAAACTAAGGGTATATTCCAGCAAAGTTAAAGAATAGTAAACAAGAAATAGAAAGATGTGCAAAGCAAGAATGGGGGAATTAACCAAGAGTGCTACTTTGACCTCTGTGCAATAGTCCTAGTAGCCACCTGTCCAGATTAAAATAGAAAGACCAGTGTCCTCAGGAAGAATAACAAAATTACTCTCAAGCTGTAGACAGTGTCATTACTGTGATTATGGAGTAACACGTCGGTGCTCTGCTACTGAGCTACACCCACAGCTCTTTTTTAAAATTTTTATTTATTTAGGTACTGGGGGTTGAACCCAGGGATGCTTTACCACTGAGCTACATCCCCAGTTCTTTTTATTTTTTACTTTTTAAATTTTGAGACAGGGTCTCTCTAAGTTGCTAGGGTCTATCCAAATTGCTGAAGCTGTCCTCAAACTTGTGGTTCTCCTGCTTCAGCCTCCCTCAGCTGGGGTTACAGGTGTAGCTAGGAGTGCAGCACTTAGATGATGTTCAAAATTTAATGACAAGATGAAATTCCAATTTCTTCTCTAAGTAGAAAAAAGTGAAAGGCAATACAAACTCTCAGAAAAACACAAACCTGTAAGAAAATTACAAAACAAACAAAATT